CCGCTCTCATGCGTGGCCGTCACGCGCCCGTCGGACGTGGAGGCGCTCGCCGCGTTCAGGAAGGCGGTCAAGGACCCCGCGCCGCTTAAGTGGCCCGACTCGGGCGACCCGTGCGAGGACAACTGGGACCACCTGACGTGCAGCCGTGACCCGGTGTCCGACTACCACGTCATTTCCAGCCTGCTCCTGCCGCAACTCGCTCTCGGCGGCGCGCTTCCGCCGGCCATCGGAGACTTGGCGGACCTGCGCGCCGCGTTTCTAGGCGGCAACGGCTTCACGGGGCCGGTGCCGGCGGAGCTGGGGCGGCTGGATAAGCTAGAGAAGATAGGGCTGGACCACAACCTGTTCACGGGCGTCCCCCTGAATCTCTTCGAGAACATGACGAACCTGCAGGCCGTGTACCTGCTGGCGAACAACTTCCAGGGGCAGCCCGTGCCGGACCTGTCCAAGAACACCGCGCTCGCGGTGCTCGAGCTCACCGACTGCGCCTTCGCCGGCCCTCTCCCCGCGTACATCGGCGGCTTCGCGTCGCTGGTGAACCTGAGCCTGGCGCACAACCAGTTCGACGGCGAGATCCCTCCCGACATGTTCGGCGCGGGCCAGGCGAGTCTGCAGTCGGTGCGGATGAACAACAACCAGCTCAAGGGGCCAATCCCCGACGGGCTGGGCAGCGTGCCGCTGCTCTCGGAGCTCTGGCTGCACGGCAACCTGCTCTCGGGCGCCATCCCCGAGTCGCTGGGCGGGCCGCTGTCGCTGCTGCAGTCGTTGAAGCTGTACGAGAACGAGCTGACGGGCATGGTGCCCAAGACGCTGGGCGACACGCCCAACCTGCACGACCTGGAGGTGCAGAAGAACGAGCTCATGGGGCCCATCTGGCGCTTCATGAAGCAGTTCGGCAACAAGAGCTACAGCTCCAATGGCTTCTGCAGCGCCCGCCCCGGCGACAAGTGTCCGCGCGAGACGATGGCGCTGCTGGACTTCCTCAAGGCGGCGCAGTACCCGCCCGTGCTCGTCGCGTCGTGGAAGGGGTCGTCGCCGTGCAGCGCCGCCGACCAGTCGTCGTCGTGGGTGGGCGTGGGGTGCTCGGCGGACGGCCACGTGCGCAGCATCACGCTGGCGAGGCAGGGCCTCAACGGCACGCTAGCGCCGTCGCTGGGGAGGCTCCGGTCGCTGGAGATGCTGCAGGTGCCCGGCAACAACCTCACTGGCCCCGTGCCGCCCGAGCTCGCCACGCTGCCTGCGCTCAAGGCCGTCAACCTCGCCAACAACAGCTTCACGGGCGACCTGCCCCAGTTCGCACCGGGCGTCACGGTGCTCTCCGCCGGCAACCAGTTCACTGTTGCCGAACCGCCCGTGGCGCCGCCATCTCTGCCACCAGTCGTGCCGCCAGTCGTGCCGCCAGTCGTGCCGCCAGTCGTGGCGCCCACCGCGCCTCCGTCGGAGCCTCCAGTGGTGCCGAAGCCGCCTGTAGTGGTGCCGCCAGTAGTGGTACCTAAGCCCAAGGTGCCGCCCGTGGTGGTGGTCAAGACGCCTCCGCGCAAGCCGCACGTGCCACGTCGCCCGCACAAGCCCAAGAGCCCCGTGGTGGTGTCGCCCCCCGTCAACACCACTCACCCCGTCGTCACGCCGCCGCGACCGGTTCCTCCCACCACTAACAAATCCCCAGGTACCGCCAGTCGCGCACCTCCCCATAGGCTCTCGCTTGCGCTGTGTGTCCCCACCGCGCCGCCGTTGTGCGCTGCGGCTGGTGCCCACCGCCCCAGTGACCACGTCGTCTTATCGCCGCTTCCCGCATTGCTCACCCCTTTTGCCCCTATCCCGATGCCCCTTCCCCGCAGAGCCCGCGCCGGCCAATGAGACCGCAGCGCCGTCGCCCTCCTCGACGCCTCCGCCGCAACCACCGATTCAGAACGTCAGCGCGATTGCCGGTGGCGACAGTGCCGCGAGCAGCGGCAACAGCAGCGCAGCAGCAGCGAGCAGCGAGAGTGGCGGCAGCTCTGTGCCAATAGCGGCGATTGTCGTGCCTCTAGTGCTGCTCTGCTGCATCGCCCTCGCGCTCTGCGCACTCTGCGTCTTCTTCCGCCGCTCCCGCCGCTGGCGCCGCGTGGGCAGCCCGTCCATGTGAGTTGCCGTGAAAGGGGACACTGCCATGAAACACAGTGCCCCTCCCACCCACCCACCCACCCCCCCCACACACACACACAAGCAATCGCCGTAACTCATAACGTTCCTCCCCTCAACCCCCCTCCCCAACCCCCGCGCCCGGCGTCAGGTCCGACTCGTACGGCCCGTCGGGCGCGCTGGCGTCGGCGACTGTGCCGATCTCGCTGGCGGGCGCCACAGCGCCCACGGACGTCAAGATCCGCATCGACCCCGCGGCGCTCGCCGCCCGCGGCATCGTGGTGGGCGACTCGTCGGAGGGCGACCTGCTGATCCGCATCGAGGTCATCCGCGCCGCCACCGGCGACTTCGCGCCGTCCAACATCATCGGCAAGGGCGGCTTCGGTACCGTCTATAAGGTTAGGCCTCGATACAGGGTGGGAAGTTGACACTTTGTTCCGCTGCTTGCCGTGAGCCGAATCATGCAGCCATGCAACGTGTTTCTAAATGCTGTGGCGTGTGGTGCGGTGTGGTGCGGTGCGTGCAGGGCGAGTTGGAGGACGGCACGAAGGTGGCGGTGAAGCGCATGGAGCTGGGCCACCTCTCCACCAAGGGCCTCTCCGAGTTCCAGGTATCGCGTCGCTACCTCTTTCCCTCCCTCGTCCCCGCCTCTCGTTTCTACCCCAACGCGCAAGCCTCTCCTCCCCTCCCCCCTCCCTCCTGTTGGCGGCGCCATGGCAGGCGGAGATCGGCGTGCTGACGAAGCTGCGGCACCGGCACCTGGTGGCGCTGCTGGGGTACGTGGTGGACGGCTACGAGCGCCTCCTCGTCTACGAATACATGCCCAAGGTGCGCCCTCCACCTTTCCCCGCGCTCCTCCCTCCTACTCTCGTCACCGCCTTCCGCCCCCCCCTGCGGCTCGCTCAAGTCTGCTGTTGTCTGATTCTCCCCCTCATCCGCAGGGTCCTCTGAGCCGGCACCTGTTCGACCACCAGCGCCTGGGGCTGCGCCCACTCGACTGGCGGACGCGCGTGTCGGTGGCGCTGGACGTGGCGCGCGGCCTGGAGTACCTACACGGGCTGGCGCGCGCGTCGTTCATCCACCGCGACATGAAGCCCAGCAACGTGCTGCTGGACGACTCGTTCCGCGCCAAGGTCTCGGACTTCGGCCTCGTCAAGCAGCAGCAGCTCGCCGCCATCGACGGCTACCAGCCCTCCATCGAAACCCGCCTCGCCGGCACCTTCGGCTACCTTGCACCGGAATATGCGGGTATGGCGGCATGTGGGGCCCGGAAGTGGGCGGGCAACACGCGGTGTTTGTCATAACTACACTGCCACGCGTCACCCCCCACCCCTTGTCATTTCTAGCTCCATATCATATCCCCCTCAACCCGTTGTCCTCCCCCTCCCCCCCCGTGCGCGTGGTGGCAGTGACGGGCAAGGTGACGACCAAGTCGGACGTGTACAGCTACGGCGTGGTGCTCATGGAGCTCGTCACGGGCCGCCGCGCGCTCGACGACAGCCAGTCCGAGGACACGGTGCACCTCGCCACGTGGCTGCCGCCGCACATCCCCGACCGCCAGAAGCTCGCTCTCGTGCGCACTCTCGCCCGCGCCACCTGCTCGCGCTGCCAGCTGCTCTCCCCACAGCATGTCCACCGCGCCATCCTCTCATCTTCGCACTCGTCATCTTTCAGCCTCAAGCCCTCCCTCCCCCTCCCCTTCGCTCTCCTTTTCCCGTCGTCTGCCCATGTCTACCCTTCCATTGCCCCCCCCTCCCCTCTCCCCAAAGGTGGTGGATCCGACGCTGGCGGCGGAGTCGCCGACGGTGGTGGGCGGCGAGGCGGGTAGCGGCGTGACGGTGTTCGAGTCCATCTGCGCCATGGCGGACCTCGCGCTGCACTGCACCGCCAGGGACCCCAAGCGCCGCCCCACCATGAGCGACGTCGTTGCTGCGCTCGTGCCCCTCGTGCAGCAGTGGAAGCCGCAGGTGAGCCCTCCCTCCCCTCCCCTCCCCTGCCCCCCTGCCTGCACCTGCATACTTGCTTTGCCTGCCTCCCATCCCTCCTGGCTGAACTCTACACCTTCCATGTAGCTGAGGCTGGGCACTCAGGAACTCCAAACCCAAAACCCTCTGCTAAACAAACCTCAAACTCTTGCTCGCATGCCTGTCTAAACCTGAACCTGTCGCATACCCTCTAACCAGAAACCCTCACATGCCCTGCTAAACCCCAAGCCCTCACATGTGTCTTCCCCACATGCACACACCAGGACCCATTGGAGGACCAGACGGGCGGCATTGACATGGCGATCAGTCTGGCAGATGCGCTGCAGCAGTGGAAGGAGATGGGTGAGGGTGACGACCTGCCTGGTGCATATAACCCCGACGACAGCTTCTGCGCCGACTGCAGCCCCAGCTTCGACGGGCTTGGCGCTGTGGCTGCCACAGGCGCGTGCAGCAACGGGTGCTGCAAGAGCAAGAAGGTGGCAGGCGAGGAGGGCGAGGGGTCTGCGGGTGACAAGGCAGAGGGCAAGATGGGCGCAGGGGCCAAGGACGTGGGGGCGTTTGTGAGTGGGGATCTGGATGAGGCTGCAACGCTGGGTACTAGCAAGGGCGGTAAGGTGGTGCTGGTGGAGTATGGTGGCAAGGCGGCCAGTGCAGGGGAGGCAGCAGCAACGGCAGCAAAGCTGGGAGAGGTGCTGAACGGGCTGTCGTCCGCCATGACTCTGGAGGAGCAGTATGCTGTGGACGGCTCTCCAGGCAGAGCTGACCTGAGTGTGGCGAGCATCCCCACCTTTGTGCCAGGTGCCGCTGTGGTGTCCGCCAGGTAGAAATCATTTACCCGTAGATGCGCCGTGCTTGTGTGAGCAGCCCTAGAGAGGTTAGTGAGATAGGAACCAGATGTGAGTCGTCTGGGGTGGGTTTCTGCAGACTAGCAGCTGAAGCCATGCTTCTTTTGTAGGAGTGGGTGCAGTGAGTCAGAAGGCAAGGTGGTGCTGGTGCAATAAGGCAGCAGGCAGACATGGGAGTCAGAAGACAACCTGACTGCAGCAGCCTTTGTTGGGTTGCAGAGGTGTCAAAGCTTCAACTCTAGGACTACTGACATGCAAGCTTGTTATTGTAATTATTTATGTTAATGTAGAATGTGGCACCTGTATAGCCACGTGAGTTGATTGGCTTTAAAGCCTGCACCTCATATCTGTCAACTTATACATATTATCTATGTAGAAGTTATAGGCTAGATTGAGGTATGCTTCTAGTGAGGACAACCAACTAGTATTTGTTTTAGGTTTCCACTTCTAGTCATTATTCGTTCTCACTTTAACATGGTATCAGGCGTAGGTTAGCATCCCCCACCTACCGCTTCCGCCCGTACCCTAGCTAGGCCACGTCGCGCCTCCTAGCCCCGTCGCGCCTCCTAGCCACGTCGCCCCCCTCCTGGGCCACGTCGCGCCACCCTAGCCCCGTCGCGCCACCCTAGCCCTGTCGCGCCCCTCCTGGGCCCCGTCGCGCCTCCTAGCCCCGTCGCGCCCGCTCGGCCCCGTCGCGCCCTGCCTGGCTCCGTCGCGCCCGCCTGGCCCCGTCGCGCCCTGCCGGGCCCCGTCGCGCCCTGCCTGGTCCCGTCGCGCCCTGCCTGGCCACGTCGCGCCCGCTCGGCCCCGTCGCGCCCTGCCTGGCTCCGTCGCGCCCGCCTGGCCCCGTCGCGCCCTGCCTAGCCCCGTCGCGCCCTGCCTGGCCCCGTCGCGCCCTGCCTGGCCCCCTCGCGCCTGCCTGGCCCCGTCGCGCCTGCCTGGCCCCGCCGCACCTGCCTGGCCCCGTCGCGCCTGCCTGGCCCCGTCGCGCCTGCCTGGCCCCGCCGCGCCTCCCTGGCCCTACCGCGCCTGCCTGGCCCCCGCCGCGCCTCCCTGGCCCCGCCGCGCCTGCCTGGCCCTGCCGCGCCTCCCTGGCCCCGCCGCGCCTGCCTGGTCCCGCCGCGCCTGCCTGGCCCTGCCGTGCCTGCCTGGTCCCGCCGCGCTTGCCTGGCCCTGCCGCACCTGCCTGGCCCCGCCGCGCCTGCCTGGCCCCGCCGCGCCTGCCTGGCTCCGCCGCGCCTGCCTGGCCCCGCCGCACCTGCCTGGCCCCGCCAGCACCTGCCTGGCCCCACCGCACCTGCCTGGCCCCTTCGCCCCGGCTCGACCTGCCGTGCCGCCTCGGGCTCCGTCTCCTCTGCTCGCCCGTGCTGAGGCGCTTCGCGGCCGCCGTGCTGGAGGGGGCTGTCCCTGTGTTCCTGCGTCGCTGTGTTCCGGTGGAGCTGTGCCGCTGACCCTGCACGATGGCGGACTTCGTGCTCCGACTGGACGCCGAGGGCCATGCGGTTGACTTCGCCGCCTGGCTCTCCGATCTCCGCCGCCACCTTACAGGTCAGCGCCAGGATGGCCACTCTTTGGTTGTCCATGTCGACGGCTTGCTCCCCCGCCCCCCTGCACCTGCTCCCCTCCCTGCTGATCCCTCATCTGATGACCGTGAGACCTTCTCTACTGCTGCGTTTGCCCGTGCGGTCTGGGACTCCCGCGATGCAGTCGCTCAGGTTGCCATTAGCCACGCCCTCCCTGTCTCTGAGCGCTCGCGTTTTGCTACTATTGAGACGGCCAAAGCCTACTTAGACGCTGTTATTGCCCGCTATTCCACACCCGCGTCTGCTTCTGCTGGTCGCCTGCTCTTCCCTATGCTTTTCCCAGACCTTGCAGCTTTCCCTACCGTCGCAGACTTTGCCACTCACCTGCGTGCCCTAGAGACCCGCTATCGCACTGCCAGCACTGCCGCCCAGCTCTCTGCGCTCCCCCCCCCTTTCTGCATGACGCTCTATTTTATCGCCATGCGCCTGCCAGACCGCCTCGCTAGTGCTCGCGATCACTTTCTTAGCCAGCACCCGGGTGACCTCACTCTCACTGCCTTTGTCGACACCCTTACCGAGATCGAGACTCGCCAGCGCACTATCACTCAGTCGAGCGGTGCGCCGGCAGTTTCTATCTTTCACGGTTGTGCCCCCTCCCAGTGTGCGTTCACTGACGTTTCGGCTGCGGTCGCCTCGGCGGCCCCTCTCACCGAGACGGCTGGTGCGGTCCACCCGCAGCAGCGCTCGCGCCGCGGTGGCCGTGGTCGCCAGGGGGGTAGGGGTGGTGGTGGCAGTAGTGGTGGTGACGGTAGTCCGCCTGCGGGACTACCACTGGTGGGCAGGAGCAGCAGCCCCAGTCGCAGCAGGAGCAGCCCAGCCGCAGCCGCCGCCCCAGCAGCAGTCACCGTCCCAGCAGCAGTCGCCGCAGCAGTGGGCCCGTCTCCCGCCTGGTTGGCCCGGCACCTCCGGAGGTAGTGGCCGTGGTGGCGGCCCGCGCAGCTTGGCGTCTACCGGCGGCTCTGGTGCTGTCACCTGCCAGTACCAGCTTCAGACCGGGCCTCTTCGCGGCACTCTGTGCCGCCGCCCGCACCCGACTGCCCGCTGTTTCCGCCGCCTCGACGATCTCTTTCGTCGTCGCTTTGGCCCGGCCCCGGACCTCCCCGACTGGCACAGCTTGCTCCGCCAGGGCGTGCCGATCTTTGAGTTAGACATGGATCAGCTAGGTGCTGCTTTGCATGCTTTGTATTCTGACGCTTCTAGTTTTGCTGGATCTTATTACCCTGTGTACTCTAGTTTAGGTGTTGCACCATTGTGTAGCTTAGCCTCCCCTGCTGCGTCAGGCGTAGGACTGCCTAGGTTGCCTAGTCTAGTCGCTGCACCGGCTCCGTCCCCAGCCTCCGCCACTGCGTCGCTGTCCTTCACTCTCGACTCCGGTGCTTCTGCCTGCTTCTTCCGCGACCGTTCCACGCTCACGCCGCTTGCTGCACCTGCTGTTGTCTCTCTCGCTGACCCCTCTGTGGGTCCTGTCGTCGCGCACAGTTCTACGTCCCTTCCCTGTCCGGCAGTTCCCTCGGGCTCCCTTACTGGCCTCCACGTTCCCTCGTTCTCGCGGAATCTGGTTGGTGTCGCCTGTCTCCAGGACCTCGGCGTCACCACCACGTTCCCCGGGCACGAGCGGTTCGCTGTCTGTTCTGAGGCTGTCTCAGGTTCCCCCCTTGCGACGTTCCCCCGGGACCCGGTGTCTGGTCTGTTTACCCTAGACACCGCTTCCCCCCCGGTTGGTGCGTCCTCCCAGGTCGCTGCAGCTTGCTCGTGTCGGTCCCTCACTCACCCCTCCCTTCTCTGGCACCACCGCTTAGGTCACCCTGCTCTCCCGCGTCTGCGTCACATGTCCCAGCACGGTCTTGTCTTAGGTCTCCCCGCGTCGCTCCCTGCCCTTCCTCCCTCGACTGCGCCACCGTGCACGCCTTGCGTCGAGGGTCGGCTCCGCCGTGCTCCTCACTCCTCCTCGCTGCGTCCTGCTACTGGCCCCCTTCAGACCCTGCACCTGGACGTTTGGGGCCCTGCCCCCGTCCCCGGACCGCGCGGTGAGCGCTACTTCCTTGTGCTCGTCGACGACTACACGCGCTACACCACGGTGTTTCCCCTGGAGCGGAAGGCCGACGTGCCCGACGTTCTTCTCCCGTGGGTTGTGGCTGCGCGTCTCCACCGCGGTCTCCCCGTGTTGTGTCTCCACTCCGACCGTGGCGGCGAGTTCGCCTCTGGTCGGCTTGGACAGTTCTGTCGTGCGGAGGGCATCACCCAGTCGTACACGTTGCCGGACTCGCCACAGCAGAATGGGGTTGCTGAGCGCCGCATCGGCTTGGTCATGGAGGTCGCCCGTACATCCATGATCCATGCCGATGCCCCCCATTTTCTGTGGCCGTTCGCTGTTCGCTACGCTGCTCACCAGCTTAACCTGTGGCCACGCTCCCAGCGGCCGCAGGTTTCGCCGACCCTCCTTTGGACCGGGTCCCCCGGTGACGCGTCTGCGTTCCACGTCTGGGGCTGCCTTGCTCACGTTCGTGCCTCTGGCACGGACAAGCTCACTGCCCGCACTGTCCCCTGTGTCTTCCTCGGTTTCCCCCTGGACTCGTCTGACTGGCTCTTCTATCACCCGCCGTCTCACCGCTTCCTGCACTCTCGTGACGTCACCTTTGACGAGTCCGTCTCCTTCTACCGCCGCTTCCCTCACCGAGGTCTCCCAGTTGCCCCCCCCCTGTTCCTTGCTCCCTCTCCCCCAGTAGCCCCTGCCCCTCTCCCGCCTCGTCCTGCCCCGTCTGGTGTCTCTCACGTCACTCCCCTCCCGTCGGTTGTCCCCGTTGAGGAGTCTGCTGACTCTGGTGGTACCCCCGGTCCGTCCTTGCCGCGTCCCCCTTCCCCGGTGCCTCCGACCCCGCTGCCGCCGCCGTCGCCGTCGCTGCCGCAGCCGTCGCCGCTGTCGCCGCCGCCGCAGCCGTCGCAGCCACTGCCGCCGCCGCTCTTGGCCCCTGGGGGTGCTGGTGTGGAGGAGGGTGTTCGTCCTGCGGCTTCTGGGGGTGCCGCTGGTGTTGGAGGGGGTTCTCGCTCTGGGGGTGTTGGTTCTGGGGGTGCTGCTGTTGAGTGTTCTGCCGACGGTCGTTCTGCCTCTGCTGGTCCGAGAGTTCCGGCCCAGCCGTCGTCGCCGCCGCAGCAGCCGTCGCCGCCGGTCTCCGCTCTCCGCCTGCTCGGCCTTCCCTCCCCGGACCGCGCGCCGGTGTCTCCCCCACCGCCTGCTGACCTTCCTGTCTACGGTCCTGTGTTCCCGCCGCCGGACTCGTCTCCGGCCCGTCTTCCTCCTCGTTCCCCTCCTGTGTCTCCTCCGCTGTCCCCTGACCCTACACCTCCGTCTCACGTTTGGGCTCGCCGTCCCTCCCGTGCTCGTCCCGTCTCTCCTGTCCTGCCCTCCCACCCTATGTTGCTCCGTTCCCGCTCGTCTCGTCCTCCCTCCTCCCGTCCCCTCCTCCCT